CCTTGCTTACAGCTGCATCGGCATGATTGTGTGCAGTCTATGCTATAATGTGTGGTGTGTATATTTGTGTATAGGTCTAATAATTCCCGTCTCACAGCAAGTATCCGGTGCTAAAGGTCAATACGCATTAGCATTGACTCTTTATGCTTTGCTGGAATGCCCTATACAACATGTTGCCCCCCATCCCAAAATTTCGCTTGATCTTAATGGGGGAGGGGGTAAGGGGGAGAGGAGGGGCATTTTCAAAGGAGGGAGATGGTAGTTTGAAAGTTCTAAACCGCACCATGCACTATATGCATGATTTAGCCTGCAAATCATGTCTGTAACTCGGAATCGGGTCTTATTGTATATATTGTTTGACCGATAGTTTAATTTTGTTTTTGAGAACACATTATATGTCGGTTGTCAGGCATATTATTACCAAAGCAACGGGAAATAAAAGATATATCGTGGGTGGGGTGACAAAACCTCGTATTGGTATTTTTATGTATGTAAACTCCCCTATAACCCCCCCTAAAATTCCCCCCTTTTTTTTAATTATTAAAAAAAAAAAAAAAAAAAAAATTATGCTCATGGCTGACCTAAAAAAGGTGACCTTGTCAAATTTTGAAATTTCGAGGCCAAAAAAAAAAAAGTATCCTCTTACCCCCCCCCCCCCCGATTTTCAAATTTTCGGGAGCAAATTTTTCGGGCCCGATTTTAAACCCCCCCCCCCCCCCCTTGAAAAAATCCTGCGTACGCCACTGCATCTGCTTGATGTTAGCATCTACTCGCTATAAACTCTATTTTTCATCTCACTATGTTAGCGTTGCTAAGGAGAAGACAGCCCTAAGAACAAAACTTCCCGTATTAGCTAATATCAAATGCGACTTTAGAGCACTATAGCTTTTTTGTGATAAATACAATAAACTTGGAATTAAAAAATCATAAATACCATACTTGTGAACAGATTTTCTCGAAGTTCTTAGTCAAAAGTCATAATAAGTCTTTACATATGGAGAAATAGGTATTTTGGGGTAGTTCATGTTTTCGGGAAAAACGGTAAAATTCACATTTCTGGCTCAAAGTTATTATGCATATTATCCTCAAACCTATTAAATATGATTTCATCTTGTAGGAAATTTAATGCCCTTTCATATGACACCTCACACAAGGTAAAATGAGGTTCCCTTTAAAATTTATCTCCAAAATCGTACAACAGTTGTTGTATGGAAGCAATTTTTTTGCAGCATAAAAGTAGTCCACCTAGAAATTGTGCAGGAAGGTGCCTTGATTACGTTGACACCCAACAACTTTTACAACGTTCTGGCCCGAATTCACAAAGGAGGTTTGTCTGTGACTCCTAGGTATTAATGCAATTAATTGTAGCGAGGCACAATAACAAAGATGTCTGCATCAAATTTAATTAGAAAAAATGGTCTACTGATCATGCGGAGAGGATTGAGGATGTGCCTCTGCCATTAGGGATATTGGTAGCAGGAGATAAACATTGAAATGTCACGGTATAGTTTTGGCAATTTTAGTGATAAATACTTGATGACTTTCGAGGATGACGGTAGCTTTCGCATTTAGACCGCGCGAAATCTCATTTACATTTTCGAATGTAAACAAACATATTCCTAAACCGTTCAGAAAATCACTCCGTCTTAAGGCATCGAAAAAACAAGAGCATCCACACGGTCAACTTAAGCTTATCTCTAGTCGTGTAAGCGCGTTACTCCTGGAAAAATCCAGGAGTAAATCAGTCAGTGTAAAGGTCGGCGTAGCTAACGCGCCTATTCAGACGGTCACTACGCCGACCTTACCATACTGACACCGACTAGCTCTAAACACGACCTTTACGCCGACCAAAATTGCCATCGTGTGAACACGGCTGTGTATATTTGTAACAGGTGAATGAAATAATACGTATCGAGGCGCTCCACAAAGGCATATGAATAAACTAGGCTACATTATAAAATAGGATATTAGGTGGGTGCTGGCGTCACGGTGAGGTGGGAGGGGAGGGGGGGGGGCTGGGATGCATTGTCGTACTCGTTGTATTAGTTTACGAGGCCGCAGGGGTGGGAGTGGGAGGCAGAGAGCTCACACACATCTCAGGTATTACAAAATTAGTAAACATTGATTATTTTGAATTTTGTCTGCTACGGAGTACTTCAGAAAATGGTACAGGTTGAAAGTAAATAAATGATTCAATGGAATGTTTGAAACTTTTAATTTTCACTTTAGGAAGGTTTTGTCAGGAATATACATATATACATTAATATATAATTAACTCTACATGCCTTGTATTTAACAGGACATCTTCATATAAACCTAAGTGGTACATTAACCGGACATCATAAAACAGGTATATTACCCTAACCCTAACCCTAAATTGAAAACAATATAACTAATTAAACTAATGACTAATGATTAAAACTATTGTTTCTTGGGAGGCCTATAAGTTTCCGCTGCCTGAAAATGTAGAGGGAAGTAATTCTAATGTTCAATCGTGTTCGTGTCCTGCTAATGACCATGTGTCTACTTATTGACTCATGTTTTCACTTCATTAGTCCGTCTACTGATGCTGTAAGAGGTATACATATATATATTTATATATATATATATATATATATATATTTATTTATTCATATCTAAAACACATGAACAATTTACTATTCCTTTTTTGTGTTACACCTTAGGTATTTTATACATGACGGAGGGAAAGTTTCCCCTTGAGAAAATGTCGGGGGACTATAGGTCCTCTCACTTCTTCCCCTAACCTATAGAATTTCGGAATGTATTTGTTATTTGAATCGAGTGTGGTTGTCGAAATTATGTTGGTAAGTTTGAAAATAATTATTTTTGTGTATTTTGAGGTTTCAAAATCATTACAAAACATCATTAGATCATGAATGAATGTCACAAAAACTTTTTTAAAAATCGTTAAAGCTTTTGGGTAGATGGGAGTACAAGCATAGTCCAAAAGATTTGTCCATTAAATAGACTGCCTGCTCAGTAAATACAATTACTTTTTTTTTATTTGAAAAATGAGAGTATTTCCAAACACATTCTTGTTTTATATAGAACGATATTTTCGACATGGAAATTCGAATTTAAAAGCGTTTATTTTCGTAATTGAAGCATTTTGTCACGTCTTCTTTCGTGTCCATCATCTGTTCTCAAATGTTCTGCCAGGCTTTTGCCCACTGAAGAGCCTTCTCACGTCTAATGAGCATTTCTAATGCAGGTGGGGGCACGTATGTGTGTATATAGGGGAAGGCAATATCCCAGATGTATACTCCGGGTTTGCCGTCACTATTCGATAGGTGCATCAAAAATGATCACGTTTCTCTAAACCCATTAACCGTATTAAAAAAGTCCACCTCATTGATCTCATTATTAATTAATCAATTCATTTTGAGACCGAATACCGGTAGTACTTTTTGGTTTTTGTTATAAAGCTAGTTCTGCATCATGAAGCTTAGTTCATCACCCTTGCTGTGTGTCTCTCTGTCTCACTGTCTCTATCTCTCTCTCTAACACACACACACACACACACACACACACACTCCCTCTCTCTCCCTCTCCCCCTCTCTCTCCTCCCTCTCAGTCAGAATGTTTATCCCCGTCAATTGTTCCCTGCCCGCCATTCGTCATTCTATTTTTAATTACCGAATTCCGAAACAGAGTCGAGCAAAATATCTTGTACCTGTCGTTGCTGCCGTGCAGACTTCCTCATCTGTTGGTCACATCTATTCTGCTAGAAATTACTTTATTACCAGCCTCATACTTAACTGATCCCCGAGAAGTGACTAACTTTTGTGTATAACTATATAAGTGGCCCAAACATTGTGGAGCGGTGTGAATGTGCAGCGCTCTGTAACCGCAAGGAAAAAGCGCTGTATCAAATATCTTTTGAATTAAATGATTGATTATAATAAGGCTGTGCATTGTCAAAGATGAAAAGTGGATTCGTTAAAAGACAACTTATTTGCACCAGCTTCGTCGTTTTGAGTAAGTATATATATTTGATCTGTTTATTTCTTTTTGATATCATATACATTAATTACCCTCCTATACAACATATAACAACTTTATATTCTTTCCCTTTTTCTTCTTTTTTTTAATAGAAAAGAATTGGCTTATATATTGTACTTTCGATCAGGAATATCATTGTTAAGAACAAAAAGAATACTATTTTTAAGTTCCTTCAAACCTAAACTAAAACTTTGTTTCAAAGCAAAGTGTGTCATTTCCATAATAGTCGATTCAAGATTTATAATACCAAAGTGTTTCCTCAGTTGACCTTTTTTCCAATTTAAAAGAGAGCTATCTGCAAAAGTAACTGTTCAACTTTATATTTTAATACAGTTTTCTAAAATGTAAAGTTGTTTTGCTCATGTAAAAATTCGGGTAAACCACGTTTTATTAGAATTTTACACCCTTGCAACCTTATATGTTCTCTATCTCTATCCAGTATGCGCAAACGCACGCACACACACACACACACACACAAAACACATACACGCACTCACGCTCCCACACAATATCGTACTATCTGGGTGACGCTCCTGACCCTTGGTTGGGTTTATGAAATCTGTTGTGTTACGATTTCTATTGGATACACACGCACACATACGCACACTCACTCTACACAAACTCCACACAAACTCATCTACCCACACACACAAAAACAGGTATTGAAAAATTGCATATTTATATGAAAGTACATATTTACAGGGAGGGAGGAAAAGTTCAAGAGGGAAAGAGAGAGAGAGAGAGAGAGACCACCATATGTATAGGCGATTGTCCTAAAGTAAGTGTTGGAAATTTCAAAGTTGCGTTCTGGGAAAGGTGAACATTTTTTATGAAGGTTTTTCATTCTATTTTGTTGTATTTTTTAAAAATTATTTGTAAAACATTGTCACGATTCACCCATATGGCTGCGAAGGTATGTTTTTATCAATCCTGAATCGTGACACCTATCGTGTATGCATCGATTTCCAGTTTTGAAAATGGTCACTCTAACTGAGCCGAGATGCGGCACCATCACACTTCCAAACGGAGATACTGTTGCTTTGAAAACCAAATCAGTAACCAGCGAGGATGTCTGGTGGCCAGAGATGAAGAGAATTGCTGCAAATCATCTCATCTGCAAACTGCCATGTGAGTTTTTAAAGCTCCTACGATGCATTGGCTTCAAAATTATATTGCTTTTAATTCATTGTGTCAACGGCTCTGCTCTAATGGTGTTGTGGTCCAGTGGCTAAGTCTCCGGACTGTAAACCACAACTCCGCAAGGTACAGGGTTCGAACCCCTGCCGCAGCACTCAGTCCTGCATTAACCAAACTTGACCCAGATGTAGTAAGTGGGAACTCGATTATATTCATTTAAACAGAAATAACCGCTGTTTTTTTTTTTTTTTTTTTTTTTGCGTATTAATGGATGGCAACTGCGAGCAACAACGGCCCTACGGGTGTTTACTGAACTCTGTTTTATAACATTAAAAAATGTCAAGTGCATTACAGTTTAATTGGTCATAATAAGTACACTGTTGGTCATAATGGTGGAATAATAATTTTTACCCCAATTTATTGAATGATTTTGACAATGATTTATCTCAATCGATCTAGATAATAGTATACATTCTCAGATTTTATTGAATGACAATTGGGGCGTGTTTGTTTTGCGTGACTATGTTAATCAACTTGGGGACCTACGTCCTTAAGTCATAATTGTCAGTAATGGGGATTATTACCTCATAAAAGGGCACTAATATAGCACATCGACATGGTTTTGATCCTTGGAGCTCACAGTAACGAGGCCATTGCTTAGCTAATGGATCATGATTGTACGCAGCGGGCGCTAGGGTACGTCGACGCCCCCACAAAAACAAAAAGCAAAGAAAATGCAATAAATTTTCAATAATTTATTTTGCCCCGACCCCCTACATAAACAAATCTTTTATGTGGGCATGCCTTGAATTATAATGCATGGCCCTACAGAGGAATTTTTCCTGTCGGGGACTGAGGGAAATGCAATGAATTATTGCAAATTTATTGCATTTTCTTTGTTATCAAATAGCGTATCTCTCATTAATAATTATAAAGGGTCTGTAAGATTCATCAAAACTTTTACCTGCTTTCTCAATATAGATTCTGTTACAGTTTGCAAACAATATTTATATTGATATTTGCTTTCTATTCATTTTCTTACTCAATTTGCCTCCTCCATCACTGTCTCACTCTTTTTCTTTCTCTCTCTCTCTCACTTTTTATCTTTCACTCCCTTCTGTGTCTCTGTTTTATCTTTTATATGTCTTTGTGTCATCTTATTTCTTTTCTTCTTTTAATATTTCTCTCTTGTTCTCGCTCTTCCTCACCTCCTTTCTCTCTTGCTATCTCTGTCTGACTGTCTATTTCTCCCCCTCTCTCTCTCTCTTTATCTTTTCCTTTCTCTCTCCGTGTCTCTCTCAATCATCTATCTTTCACAAACAGACTGTCTTTCTACTCCATGCCAAAATGGAGGAACCTGCAAGGAGACACTCGATGGCATTACCTGTACTTGTCTCACAAGCTTTCAAGGTCAAACTTGTGCGATTGGTAAGCATGATTTTTTGTAAATACACACAGCAACAACAAAGAAGAAAAAGTGGACACTATTTATACCTATATTAGGATTTTCAAATAAATATTCAATTAATGATGAATATATTTGTCATTCATTTATCAAATAAACATAACATGATCATCTTAAGATGATATGCAACTAGAGTCATACCTTCATGCATGAGTGAGCAGAGCCATTTAAACAAACGAATCCCTGATAGATAATTGCAAAAACTTGTGCATTTGGCGATATAAATGTTGATGAGTATGGGAGGTATCCTACGGCTTGTCCACGAACTTGGGTAGAAAAGAGAAACATTTTGGCCGTGCTTGTCAAAACCATCCGAGCTCAATCTAACTTTTTCTTTCGCAGTCTTTGTTTAAATTGTGAAACAAGAATGTCTCACAGATTTTACTTCTCCTAGATACTGACGAATGCTCTGCGAATCCATCGGTCTGTGATTCTGACAATGGATTGTGTATGAACTCAGTCGGCTCTTACACCTTTTCTTGTAACCCTGGATATGGATTAAGCAATGATAACATTACTTGCAATGTACGGTCTGTCCCATTAAGAAATGAACATCTATTGATAAAGAAGATATTATTAATCAGTAGTCATTTTAAGAAATTTATTTGTCTATAATTATTGAATGAAATAAGTGGGTAAAAGATATATCTTGTATAGACGGGGATATATTTCTCACGCTCGCCTACTATTAAAAAAAAACAACATAGTATCAGCGAACGTTTGTTTGGTGGATTTATTTCAGCGAAATGCCCGGATGCGTCCTGGACCCCTTTCCAAGGAAATTGCTACAAATACTTCGACAATAAAGCCAACTTTACTCAGGCCATGTCTGCCTGTCGGAATCTGACCAACGGACAGTCATGCCATGCAGACTTGGTTTCTATTCATAGTGTAGAAGAGCAGGAATTCATCGCCAGTCTCTGTCATGAACAAGTATGTATTAAAATAAATTATATACCTCACTTAAGAAATCCAGCCATCTGATTGGTCGAAATTGCATTCATAAACTTTAACTATTCCTGTAAAATTCCCGGTAAAATTCCAAACCCATGTAATAGTTCAAAAAAATAGTTCTAAAATCCCAGTAACCATGGTTACTGGGAAAAATAGTTCAGTCTTGGTAAAATACCCATAGGTTTACATGTTAAAAAATGGTTTGAGCGATTGCGGATACCGTACGTGTGCGAAGAATTGGTCGGTATTTTCATACAAGACAATTCCAAACAAGACAAAAATGACTAAAGAAACTCTCCCAAGGTTTCAACTTATCAATTGCAAGACACGCTGACAGCAAGACTAGAATCTAAATCTAGTCTACTCATAAAAAACAACCGTGCAGATAAACTAGAGAAAGGCCAAGGTGGTTTCATTAGTTGACTCTTTTGTTTTCGGCATATAAAAGTATTAATGACTGCTTAAATATTCGAGAAATAGTTGTTTTTATACGCTCTCGGGAAGGTTACAATTGGGCTATTGCCCTCGGCACGCCACGGGCAATAGCACAATTCTAACCTTCCCGAGAGCGTATAAAAACAACTATTTCTCTCAAAGCAGTCATTAATACTATACTGTTCTTGTATAGCGCAAAACATTTTGTGATATAACGTCCCTAGGTGATTCCAAAGAGCTTTAGAAATTGATACCCTGCACAGTGCTTTTCAAGGAATAAAACAACAGGAACCCATCTACCTCACCTTGGTGGAGTGTGGCAAATGAAGATCAACGTCTTGCCGAAGGATGTCAGTGTTGTGACAGGGATTCGAACCCTGTACCTAATGGTTCACTGTCCGTAGACTTTTCCTCTGAATCACAGCACCTCTACTTTAAGAGACCAATATACCAGGGCCCCCGTGTTATAAACAATTGATATCAAGCGCAAGTTATTTGCGATCGATATCAATTGCAACTATGTACATAAGAGATAGAAGACTGCAAACTTGTTATTGATTGGAGGGCTTACGATTGATTTGGATCAATCGTAACTCTTTATAAGACGGACCTAGTTCGTAATCAGGACAATGTTCAATTGACCCCAAATATCCACCGAACTTTTAAACACATGGAGAAGTCCACTTTGTGCATTTTATAATAATCTCTGGTCCCTGATGAATCACTTATCGCCTCCTCCTCTTTACCTGTCCAGGATTTGAATAGACGCCTTTTTCAGGGAACAATTTGTTTAATGATACTCTTCGACACTGACATAAAAAGAGAGAACCTCACAATTATTTTTCACTTTTCCAGAACTCAACCAGAGCTGCACGATTCTAATCAAACAAAACATGTAACGTTCACACAATTTTCGTTTCTATTTTTCTTTTATATCGGTACGTTATTCATGCAAAATTGATTCATAATACTTATAGATTATTTTCTGTGCCCTTTCTTAAAGTCTCCCTGCAATGGTGAATGGTACTGGATCGGACTGTATCAGCCAGACCCTAATGGTCCATTTCTTTGGTCTGACGGGACACCAGTCAACTACACCGCCTGGAAATCGAAAGAACCAAATAATGCTAATAACAACGAAGACTGCGCTCATCTTTTTCGTTTGCCCTCATTATTTTGGAATGACCGCAATTGTTGGCATGAAATGTTCTTCATCTGCAAACTTCCAGCAGTCTGTCACCATGAATGAACTAAAAAAAGATATGTACAAAAATATGAAAATCAATACTGAATTATAGATTGAACGATTGAAATACATATTCACTGCATAATAAGTAGAAGAATTAGGAGTTAGATTTTTGTTGTGATTAATTGTGTAAGGGTTCTTGATCAGTAGTGGATCTAGATTGTATGAGTATGAAACCTTCTTATAATTTTTCTCAGCAAAGAAGAGACCGCTTGGTTACTTGAAATATAAAAGTTTTAAATGCTTTAATATATTTTTTTTCTCTAAAAAACGGTAAAAAAAAAATGGGGGTCGGTCGCAGAGAGCAATATAACATCTTTTTTAAAGGCGTCATCAACAATAATACTAATCTAAGTACATGTATATAACACATTGCCTGTTCAGAGCCCTGTTGCATTCAACTTGACATGTTATCTATAACATGTTGGAAAACAAGTTATAAACTACTGAAATCATTGCATTTGATTGGTTGGTAGAGAGAAAATTTGATTTTTACAACAAGTTTTATGAAACGGGGCACTGAGCCAGAACCCCGGCCCCCCCACTCAGGTTTCGGTATGACCGCATGCGTGTTGCCAAAATGTCCGGTAAAGGGGTACTTTTCGTGCGACAAAGTCCGGCCCGAGAATTGTAAAAAAAGGGGTGTATTTGACTTTTCACCCGGATATTTCTTTAAAAAGGGGGTGTTTTTTCTTTTTTTTCTCTAATCTCTTCGGACTCCTGAGAAATTATTCCGAATTTAGGGGGGTACATTGAGCATTTTTCCTGATTTAGGGGGGTCTCCAAGGCAGGAAAAGCCCGCAAAAAGCCCGCGAAAGGGGGGTTCGGAAATGTTGGCTGTCCTCAGATAGGGGGTACTTTCAAAAAGAGGGAACGAGCATATGCGTACCCTAAATAACACTGAGTGGGGGGGCCGGGGCCAGAACACAATTATGAGTTACAGCTCCTTTTGCTCCAAACACATGAAATGTACTGATAGGTTCAACGCATCCACTTTTTATTCAATATATACATATTGGGTATAAGTTGATTAATAAACCATTTGACAAAATATATATCATGTTAACTTTTTTTTCTTTTAAAGAATATAAATCTGTGATAAATTGGTATTTCGAATATATTTTTGTAAGTCAACCATTATCCATAATTCATTTTAATTATGTTAAGTAGATTATTAGCATATACAAAATGATTGTTCTTAAATATATACACTCTTATTCCATCATAATTCTTTCTTGGAAATAAAAGTGTAATTTTTACCCTTTATGCAATCAATACAATACAATTTAATTATGTTAAGTAGATTATTAGCATATAAAAAATGATTGTTCTTAAATATATACACTCTTATTCCATCATAATTCTTTCTTGGACATAAAAGTGTAATTTTTACCCTTCATACAATCAAATATAAACATTTGTATACATTTTTTGTTTAAAGAAGGGAAATTAATTAATATTAAAATGCTATAGATACAAGTATGTTAGAACATTTATTCATAAGGAACACTATTCTGGAAAAAAGATTGAAAAATAAACATTATAGGAGAACACATATGAAGGTGTAAGTCAAATTATTGATTCTGAAACACCTAGCACGAATCATATGAGCAATGATTACAATAAAGTGCAGGTACTATATGAATATACTCTACACAATTGCACCTTAAATCTTCAAAATACTCATAATACTTGCAAAATTCAAATGAATGTATTAATAATGATACCACATGCAAATAAAGGAATATTTTTTTGGAATAATGATATGTCCATTCATAAAGCGCAACTATTATGTGAATATTATTCTACTGCGAGTATTACAAAGTATCACATTATTACCCCGGTTGTAACTCAGCCGCCATGATAAGGCACTAAAGCATTCAAGGGATTAACGTTACATACATTGCATTGTAAATTGATTTATACGATATATATGTTTACAAACAGAATATTGATTAGTTACATTGCATTGTAAATTGATTGATATGTTTATGAACAGATTATAAATGTACATCAATGAAATTGAATAAATACAATACATGTTTACAAAAATGATCATGAATTGAGGTACTGTTCATGTACAATTTCCACTGCTGCTTGAACATGTTATGAGGCAAGCTATTATGTCCTATACATTAATACAGAATACCGACTCCATCAAAGATTTCAGTATGGTGTTACTAGTAATAATAACGCGCAATTATATTGCGGCATCTTTATCTAGTAAATCTATTTCAAGCGCACCATGAAAATGAGAGAGTAAGGAAGAAGAAATACAAAATAGATCACAGGATAATATATATTGTGCTGAATTACATTCAGGTACTATTTGCTTTATAAAAAGGACGGTATATATATATGAGCTAATAATTGGTTCCATAAACATGAGGGGAGGGAGGGTGTTTCACAAAGACTAATTTTGACTTTAAGTTGGACTTAACTATGGCAGGCTGTTCATGCCACTGTTTGCTCTCACTATTTTAATACTGGCATTGGTCTCTCACGGGTCGTTCAAATCATGGTCACAAATCTACAGTATTAACAGTTTTTGATAATACATTATTGAAGGGAAAATATTATCTAAAGATCGGAATGGTAAGAGCAAACAGTGGCATGAATGAACTGCCATAGTCAAGCCTAACTAAAAGTCGATCTTAGTCTTTGTAAAGAAAACTGGGTCTCAAAGTGATGACCTTGTTCTCTGGGCTACAAAGAGATTTTTACAAGAACATACTAAAATGCATACAAAAGTATGTATACATACTAGGGTAATGAGTTTAAAACCATTTTCTTACCCATCAACTCCTAAAGGGGGTATCTCACTGAGCGGCAAATGCTTACAAACGTTGCGAATTTGGATTCACTAACTTTTCTGACAAAGGTTGGCAAAAATCAGCGACTTTTAGTGATTATTAGCGACAATTAGCAACATATGTTTCCGAAAGTGTTTGCAAAAGGCAGTTGGCGACTATTATCGACTGTAAGCAAATGTCAGCGACAGTTTTTGCGAAGATTAGCAACTATTTGTGTACGTTTGGGACCTTTTGCTAACCCCTGGTACTCAATGGGTCAATTTTATGAAGGAACGATATGGTAACGTGGTCGCTAGCATTGGTGAAACAAAGAGCGACACAGTCTTACAACCGTTTGCAAAGGCTTACGACTGTTCTGCAAACGCTTCCATCTGTTTGCGGAAAAATAAATTCGCAGACAAGAAAAAATGTTTGCGACAATGAAAACTGTTTGCAAACTTTCTTGCAACCTTTTACGAACCCTGGCAAAACCCCAAATTATAATAAAAATAAATTTGCAGACAAGAAAAAATGTTTGCGACAATGAAAACTGTTTGCAAACTTTCTTGCAACCTTTTACGAACCCTGGCGAAACCCCAAATTATAATAAAATAAATTTGCAGACAAGAAAAAATGTTTGCGACAATGAAAACTGTTTGCAAACTTTCTTGCAACCTTTTACGAACCCTGGCGAAACCCCAAATTCGCTATGTTCGCAAGCATTCTTCCCTCAGTGAGATACCCCCTTAAGCACCTTAAATCTTTAAAACACTAATACTTGAAAATCTGGAATGTCGTATAGAATATAAATGTGCCCATATACATGTGTAAATCCTAAAGGGGTGGCTTCATGATTTTGTACCCCCCTCCCCCCTAAAAAAAAAAAAACGGGGGAGGGGGTCTGGACGAGTGTGAGCACTCCCTCCCCCATCCACTCCTGACCCCTGACCTACATATATAAAGTATAAAAAGGAAATCACACAAGTTTAAAGCACACTATACAAAAAACGGGGGCAATATTCAACAATTTGTAGGTACATGTCCAATTTAGTACACACACACAAAAGTTCATTCTTTGAGAACTATGTTTAAAATGAATACGTCTTGAATCATACAATGAGATTTCTCAAAAACGCTAAAACCTGAAAATTCATTCTATATAAGCACAAATAATTAAAGACGCATTGTAGAAGGCTCACATGGGTAATTAAACACAATTTGGGCTTTTACCAAATAATAGGTGTTGTCAATAATACATTGTCAGCGAATTATGACCTGCTGCACATGGACACTGACAGCTATCTCACGTTCAGCTAGCATAAAAGACGGGCGCAAGTAAGCAGAAGATTTTTCTCATGGAACTCGGATTTTTCATACCCAATCCAACAATGCAACAAAGCATAGAAGGTCAAATTTGGTCTCTCTTGAAATATTTAAAAAATATATTGTTGAAAAACCATAGAGACACTAAATGGGTTCATTCTAACATGCAGTTTAAACTTCAATCGACCTTAACATCTCGCAGGCAAGCTTTCATCCACTCTTGTGGACCTTCTCAAGCTCAGTTATTATATTCACACAGTTTCTTGCTGTCTACTGCTTTGAGATCACAGGAGCGAAGATAGTTGAAAATACATAGCCAGAGCCCTAGTCAGTGAAGGATTAAACCTTTTTTATCAAGATGGATGCTTAATTTCACCTTTTTTGACCAGAAGCATGTTTCAAATTCAATAATATGGGTATCATTCCATACAATGTTGTGTCCAGTATTAATGGTAATGGTTTTATTGAAAATTTATTTTGGAGCTAGATGGCTGAATTGCAGAATTTTGTACATTCCATAAAAACATAAATAATTACACAAACATAAATAAACTACAGTAAATTATCCAGCAAATCGTATTAAGAGATAACTCACAGTGATTGGATTTTCTAATTAAGGGCGTGTTCTGCTAATTAATTCTACACACTGAGTGTACAGCGTTCAATCACCTCACATATTAAAGGCCCTCTGCACTATTTGGGCATGGAGGGATTAGACCTCCCTGCAAGGTCACTGGCAGGTGGTCAACATCAGAAAAAGGGCATCATGGGGGATCAACGGGTACCGCTTAGGCATTGTTGGCTGTATAGAGGGCGCAAGTAGCTATAAGTAGTGCAGTGGGGCTTTAAGTACTATCCATTAAGTATGCTGCAGTCTGTCTTGGTGGAATCACCAGCAAAGAAGAACATGGCAAGAAGAAAGAAATAGATGATACACAGCATACAACCTGAAATGAAATATAAACAAGTTCTGTTAAAGGCAGGCTTTATTATTTCAGCCAGAAGGGATTAGACCACCCAGCAACCCAGCGAGGTCACTGTGACAGGTGGCTATCTCATTAACTCAGCTCTCATTTAACATAAGAAAAAAAGGATCATGGGGGACCAACAGGCACCGATTGGGGAAGTTTTCTATATAGAGGGAGCAAGTAGCTACAAGTAGGAAAGTGTGCCTTTAAATATGTACAATAATCAGGAAAAAGCATGGGCACTTTGACACTTTTGTAAAGAAAATTTGTTACACTCTCTTGTTAGTGTTTTTATCTCTGATTGTTCATGAAAGTAAGTTCTTTTTGTTTTCTTTTTCCCTGTATGTGTAGGGTAGGTCTTCATTTAAGGTATCCCTCATTTCTGCCTATTCCAAATGCTCACATAAATTGCTATTGTAAGTTTTATCACTACCGGTATCTTGATCTTTTTTTTAATCATTCCATTCTGTATTTGTATGTTTCAAATGTTTTTATGAAGAGTGGGTGGTCTCTATAGACAGGTTTCACTGTTTAAACTTGGAGGGGGGCGGGGGCGGTTCATGGATATAACTTTTGGGCCCCGCATGTACCTTAGGAAAGCACCTGTATATTGAATGGATGTGGTGGTGGTTATTTTACCTGACTGCTAAGAAAGCATAAATGCTTGTAAGTAAGCAACCAGACGGCCGACAGCTTTAGGTCCTCTCCGAGGGACCTGGTAATAAGGATTACTGCCTTACCAAAGGGCACTAGCGCATTGACTTGGTTTTGAACCCGGGTCACCGGATCACGAGACCACTACTCTACAGACTGAGCTATCGCGCCTCCCCTTATATATATCAGAGTGAACGGCTTACCTTGAAAATAATCTGACTTTCCATCGACAAAGATGTAGTTAATGATGATGACGCTAATGATGACAGACCAGAGATGGAGTTCGTTGAACACCAGATTAAATCCTAGGTTCTACGGACAAAATACATTAAAGGCATTGTTTAACAATATCAAATCTGAGATACATGGCCCTATATGTCATCAGTGTCTGGGATATGGTGTAATATTGAAGCCCTAAAAAATATGCGCCTCAAAATGTTCTTGAAGTGCCTCAAAAAAGTAAATATCTCTGAGTGACCGGTTTTACCACACTCAATTTTCCCCAATAGACTATAGTGTTATAAAAACCGTCAGGAGAACGAAAAATGAAATTTTGATTTCCATCCATAAATATCTAGCATAGGTCCCTTCTTTTACTTTTGCGATGCATTGGCACGAACTCAGATCAAGATCTATCGGCAGATGTTGTTTTATGAAGTTTATTTTCGTCTTCATGTTAACAATGCAAGATAAAATTGTCAGTAAGATGTGTGAAAATGTCCTGTACCATAGTGGTATAGTTATTGTAGTCCCATATGTACAAATTCGTGCTGTTTTTTCATGGTTTTGACTTACGATTTGTTTACTCTTTCGGCGCATAGGCCGCACCCCGACTTTTTGATATTTACTCTTCCAAAAATACTGCAGCCTTTACGCCGGCAAATACGGTAGGCATTTTCTTGATCTGGTAGACTTACAGCATCACACAACTTCCATGAACTATTCATATGACTATTGGGATATTACTAAGGCCTAAAAAAAAAGATGATGTATTGCCTTTTGCGACCGACCCCAAAATCTTGAAATCTACGGTCGACTTTTATTTTCCCCCCCCCCCCATGTTTTAGAGAAAAAATTGTATTAAAGTATTCAAAACTGAGAAATATCAGCCCAAAAAGGGAGTAAAAAAAAAAAATAGGGGAAAAAAAAAAGATTTGCGACCGAACAGTCCGTGTTTTAGCACCTAAAGGGCAATACAACATCTTTTTTTTTAGGCCTGATGTAAGACCGATATTTCAAAGAATTCCACATCTCCAAATCTATCTAAATTTCTTTTCAAAGTGCAGTCCTTATCATCATACAATGCAGTGTGCCTTATCAGGATTGTGTTAACTTTACTATTGAAGAGAACACGTCTTTATTTTAGTGGTGGTGGTTATTTTACCCAACTGCTAAGAAAGCATTATTGCTTGTTAGTAAGCAACCAGACGGCCGACGGCTTTAGGTCCTCTCTGAGGGACCTGGTAATGAGGATTAATGCCTTACCAATGGGCACTAGTGTATCAACTTGGTTTCGAGCCCGGGTCACGGGATTACGATATCACTGCTCTACTGACTGAGCTATCACGCCTTCACTTACCACAATGGCATCCACTATGACTAAGACAGGAATCTGCAAGAGACACACTTGAACAGCTACTGAGCATCCAATCTCCAAGCTGGGAACAAAAATCATGCCATGAAATAAAAAATGGTAATTTCTTTCAGTCACTTAATGGGACATAGTAGGCAGTTTCTATGTGCGGTAGGTCATAATCAGCTGACACCAGACTTGGTAACATACAAAATAACAATGAAATATGGTCAAACGTACAATATAGTACAGGGATACTAAATAATATGCCATTATATGAAATAATCAGCGACTAGAGACATGGATGTAAATTCATAGATTTACCCAGAATCACAAAATGAGATTATCCAACGATATAAAGAAAAAAAAGTAGAAAGAAACTTACCGGTAACTAAATAATGATAAATCTAGGAATAGAAAAAGTTAAAGACCCTTAAAAACATGAAAACCAGAGCCCCATCGCATAAAACTTGGCATTGGTGGTAATTTTACCATTAATGGTAACGTCCATGGAAACCTTGATTTGATTGGCTGTTGAGTGACGTTGCCATGGTAGTTCTTACTGATGGTAAAGTTACCATCAGCAGTAAGTTTAATGCAAGGTGTCTCTGGTAAGTGCACTCAGGGGGGGTGTTTCATAAAGCTGTTCGTAAAGTTACGCATGACTTTACGAATGACTTAAATATGAAAAGCCAAATGGGATGCTCGATCATTTTTAACTGCATCAACTAAAGTTGAACTATGGAGATGCAGATCAACATTCTTATTATAACAAAAAAAATTAATTCAAAGAATATTTTTTCCATAATTTAATTGAGGCTATTGGAAATATAGTCACACTTTGCTAAAACATCAGGAAAAATGTTGGGCATCTTATCTGGCACTTCATACAAAAGTTGTTTGTAAAGTCATGCGTAACTTTACGAACAGCTTTATGAAACATCCCCCTGAACACCATAAAGACGTAGAAGATTTACCTGAGATTAATGTTGTTTTTCAGAGCAAACTGGATGCCGTTAATGATTTCAGGTAAGTCAGGAACAACAGCTAAGACTGTCACACCAATGAATACCTGATAGGAAATATATAAATATATTTAATCAATGCTTTGAAATGCTAGAGCGCCGCAATGGCAGCACAGCTAAAGCCGGGGTAATAATGTCCAAGTTTGGAAGCACTTAGTGATTCTAATAAGTGCTATGTAAAAACTGAGTATTATTATTTAATTGTCAGCATATGAATATATTGCAATAAACGAAAATGTCTTTGCATTATGGACCAAATGGTTTTCAATAAAATGTTCATTGGTTTAATTTTGATGACAGAGAAATGTACACATTTACAAAAATTGAGGTAATTTTAGAAAAACAAAAATTACAACAGAATTCACAAATGATGAATTTGTAAAAATGTAAAATATTGTATCAACAAAATTAATAACAATAGTTTTAAAAGTAAATAAATTTGACTATTATAGATCCAAGAAATTTGCAAAGTTTGCACCAACTGTCAAAAGACGAAAATAGCTAAATCAACAGTAATAGCACAGTTTTGAAAGTTCAACCGTTTAGAAAATAGACACACTTACAGGTTTTATGACCGTAGAACTACTTATAATTGGCTCTAGATTCTGCACAACCACCTCGGCACTAAGAGACATCAGCGCTACAGCTACTAGTAAGATGATAGTACTCTTGATTCTACCCCAGTGTACATCAGGTTTACTGTGTGTGTTAGCTGAAATAAAGAGAGAAAGAGATTGATATAGTTGGATAAAGATGGATAAATAGATGGATAGATAGATGGATGGAGGGATAGATGGATAGATAAATAGATAGATAGATGGATGGAGGGATGGAGACATCAGCGCTACAGCTACCATTAAGATGACGGTGCTTTTGATTCTACCCCAGTGTACATCAGGTTTTAATGTGTGAGTTACCTGAAATAAAGAGAGAGAGAGAGAGGGGAGAGAGAGAGGAAAGGGAGAGAGAGAGAGAGAGTGAGTGAGTTAGGTGGATATAGATTGATATAAATGGATATATACTCCAAATATTATCTCAACTTTCGATAGGCCACCTACACATTTTGCAGTAAACAGAGGTTTTATGAATCTTTTCCTACCAGGTACCAATTTACTCCATCAGTGAGGCAACTGTAACAGTCTTGCGGAAGATAAGTGTCCTGCTTGGGCTTGAACAAACGACTTTCAGACCTGTCAAATGTTGAAACCCCTAGACCATGACACAACAATCTGAACACCATTCAATTCTTTTACTTGGCCGATAGAGCTACTCTGTGTAAAAAACAACAACAACTGGTACAGCTAAGCTGTGTCAACAAAAACAAATAAATAAAAACAGCAACAACAACTGATAGAGCTAAGCTGTGTCAACAAAAACAAATAAATAAAAACAACAACTGATAGAGCTAAGCTGTGTCAACAAAAACAAATTAATAAAAAACAACAACAACTGATAGAGCTAAGTCATGTCAACAAAAACAAATAAATACAAACAACAAAATACCTTGTGATGTTCCCGCATGGGAGCTACTTTCTTGAATAATATGTGTATGAGTCTTGAGAGAGAATATGAGGCCGATGACGTAGGCTAAGAAGAGCAAGGCGATACAGACATAGACCAACGGACGCAACTTGTGATTCAGAAAGTCAGAGTCTTCATTCTAGAAGAGAGCGAGAAATAAGCAGAGAAATAATACAAGTCAAAGAATCGCAATATGTTAGAGACATCATCAATAGTGATCTGTCAGTTTATGACAGGTTCATTAACCCAATCAAACTTCTATATCAAGTGTCTCTCCGAGTTCCTCGGTCTTGAGCCATCCGTTTCATACCCTGTTGCTCCACATTCTGTGATTACATCGTCTAGAAAGCCTTTCTTAGAGACATACATTTGACAAATAAGTTATTCATACCCTTACCAAATTTTGTAATTTATTCAGTTAGGAAAAAATCATTTGACTAGATTAATGTTTTTTGAAATTGTGACATATTAAAGCTTACATCTAAAAGTATTAACAAAGGTCATAATTTTATCAGTGCATCTTTTATTCTTGAGTTACGAAAAAATGCAAAAAGAATAAAATTTACGAGGGGTATGAACAAATTAGTTGTGAACTGTATTTCTGTCATATGTTTGTTTGGGGTTCCACGACAGTATACTTTATGCAAATCTCATCTTAAAATACAATTTCTTTAAAAGATATTACTAAATTAGAAACTGAAAACAATAATACTACGGTGCTTTGCATTTTAAAGTGCATATCTTTGCTGTAGCATCTCTATGCCCTGAGTAGCATCTCTATGCACAGATATAAGCGACTTGTGAATAAATTAATCAATGCACATGTCTGCTACTTCTTTTACTTAAAACTATTCACCGTTTAATATTTCATGTACTATTTATACTACAAATATAACAAAGACAAATTTCTTTAAACAACAGTGAAATATTAAAGCCTATCTGCACTCGTTTGGCCAGGAGGGATTGGCCCTCCCTGCATGGTCACTGACAGGTGGTTATCTCATCAAATCAACTCTCAATTAACATATGAAAAAGGGGACCATGGGGGACGAACTGGTACCACTTAGGCATTATTTGCTATATAGAGGGCGCAAGTAACTACAAGTAATGCTGTCCGGCTCTAAAGCCTTATGTACTCCATTCATTTACTTTACATTTACAAAAACATGTTTACTTAATACAAATACAGATATGACAACAGATCTAGATGTAGAGTGCCATTTCTGCAAGATTAGAAATGCAACCTAAACAGCTGAATTGCAAAGAATTGCATTCAGGTACAAAAGAGAAAAATCAAAAGACTTACAAGTTTGTAGACATAGGTACATCCCGAGCATAGCAGTGCCGTATGATTTGTAGAGTTGAAACATTGCTGTAAAGGATTACAAGGCAAACCTCTAATAAATATAAGCATTTTAGACTTTTGATAAATTCCACATCAAGAACATGAAATCTCCTTGATAATAGCAAATATGAATGATTCAAATCAACATTTTATACCTTTAAAAATAACTTTTACAAAATATTTTCATAGATGCTAACGGCTTTCCATAATTGTTAAGCCCAACTTTGTTAATCCCCCCCCCCCATTCCCCCCTTTGAGTAAGAAAATTGGGAAGAATAGAGAAAATAAGGGGGAAATCGGGAAGAAAAAACAAATCTGGAAAAAAAAAAATGGGGAAACCAATTTAAATTGGGTAATTATCAGGCCTGCCTACTCACACTGCACTCAAAGCCTCCTAGCGTGATGGTGAAGATCGTAGGAGTGAACACTCCCACTACCGATATGAAGAGAAGCGTTGCACTGACCGACATAGACCGAACGTTGAAACGCTGCTCTTTGTGCTTCAGTCCTCCAACCATCATGCAAATACCCTAGAGATAGGGGTGAAAACCATAGGGTACAGAGTATTAAAGAGATGGTTGAATTCTGGGCAAGAGGTGAAAAATAATTTGTGAGCTTATTATGCAAGTGTGGAAGAACATTATATTAAAAATCTTCCCTGAAAATCATGGCTCTTTAAATGCCTTTATATTCTAAATATTGCATGTAACAGGATAAAGATCAGGACAGATTTTTACACCACATGTTCGTGTAGTCCCATATACATCTTTCTGTGTACAGTGCTTGTAACTTTACCAAGACTGGGCCAAAATTCCTATAATTTTGATGATTCCAAAACCTTGCAATACACACCATTATTCATGAGGGCTCTAAACGACCATTCATGTGAACTTACTGGTATAAAGAGCATGGTTGCAAGCAGGGTTCCTGTTAGGGCTGACTTGACAATCTCAGAGTAGCAGATACCCGGCGGTACATTACCCCCCTGCTTCAATGCAGTCATGATCATCTTACTTACAAACCCCTGCAATTTGGGAAGCATCTTACAAAATGAATTATTCATGAGGACTCTCATGCAAATCGATTATTCATGAGAACTTACTGGTATAAAGAGCATGGTAGCAAGCAGGGTTCCTGTCAGGGCTGACTTGACTATCTCAGAGTAGCAGATACCCTGCGGTACATTACCCCGCTGCTTGAGGAGAGACGAGATGTAGAGGATGATCTCTACGATAGATCCAAAGGTTGCGTTCAGGACTGCTCCTACAACGTGGTTACTCTGGGCTGAAATACTGCAGGAATGAATAGTGAAATTACATTTAATAGGAAAATGTAGGGTATTTAGTCATTTTGTGCCTGTTTGTTTTTTGTTTTTGTTTGTTTTTAATTTGTGATTTTATTGGAAAATCAAAAGAAATCACAATATTTACAATTAATTTACATAATTCGAATCCAAATTACCGAACAAAATAAAACAATAAAATAAAGTAAATAGTACAAAATAGTTTTTTAAATGGAAGAAAATTTAAAAAGTAACAAAATAAATATTGTACAAATGGAAGCCCCCCCCCCCCCCCCGAGACAAAAAAGGTGAAACAGAGGACCTCTGCAGACACCAACCCTACCTATACAGACGAGCGACCAATAGTCAATTCTCATCTACACCATCTGGGCAACCACCAAAATCACCCGACCACCAAAGGGGAAACTGAAACAAGCAGAACCATCCCACACGCACACACGCACACCTTCACAATCACACCCTCACCCACACACCACTACAGGGAAATGCTGTCAACCGTGGACAAAGTTTAGTACTTGTGTGTGTGTGCGTAGGTAATCACCAGCAACCGCGGACCACTCCATAGAAAACTACATCAAACCGCGGACGTACCTCCTATGGGATGATCCAGGTAGCGAGCGCCTCTCCCGCACAGTCAAAAGGGGGCGCTGTGACATTTCGCGATACACATCGGACTGATCCAGTCGATGTTGCCTACACGCTGTGACATCTAATATTCAAACGCCCCCTACGTCGTAAATTTGATACGGCGGAACCGGTATCGCAACCGTGGACGGTCCCCCATTGCAGGTACGTCCGCGGTTTGAGGTAGTTTTCTATGGAGTGGTCCGCGGTTGCTGGCGTTTCCCTACGCACGCACAATCACACACCCACAAAGATCCAAACACACGCACACCTTCACAATCACACCCTCATCCACACACGCACAATCACACCCTCACCCACACACGCACCCTCACACACCCACAAAGATCCAAACACACGCACACCTTCACAATCACACCCTCACCCACACACGCATCCTCACACACCCACAAAGATCCAAACACACGCACACCTTCACAATCACACCCTCACCCACACACGCATCCTCACACACCCACAAAGATCCACCCACACGTACACCTTCACAATCACACCCTCACCCACACACGCATCCTCACACACCCACAAAGATCCACCCACACATACACCTTCACAATCACACCCTCACCCACACACGCATCCTCATACACCCACAAAGATCCAAACACACGTACACCTTCACAATCACACCCTCACCCACACACGCATCCTCACACACCCACAAAGATCCACCCACACGTACACCTTCACAATCACACCCTCACCCACACACGCATCCTCACACACCCACAAAGATCCACCCACACATACACCTTCACAATCACACCCTCACCCACACACGCATCCTCACACACCCACAAAGATCCAAACACACGCACACCTTCACAATCACACCCTCACCCACACACGCATCCTCACACACCCACAAAGATCCACCCACACATACACCTTCACAATCACACCCTCACCCACACACGCATCCTCACACACCCACAAAGATCCAAACACACGTACACCTTCACAATCACACCCTCACCCACACACGCATCCTCACACACCCACAAAGATCCACCCACACGTACACCTTCACAATCACACCCTCACCCACACACGCATCCTCACACACCCACAAAGATCCACCCACACATACACCTTCACAATCACACCCTCACCCACACACGCATCCTCACACACCCACAAAGATCCAAACACACGCACACCTTCACAATCACACCCTCACCCACACACGCATCCTCACACACCCACAAAGATCCAAACACACGTACACCTTCACAATCACACCCTCACCCACACACGCATCCTCACACACCCACAAAGATCCAAACACACGTACACCTTCACGCTCACACCCTCACCCACACACGCATCCTCACACACCCACAAAGATCCACCCACACGTACACCTTCACAATCACACCCTCACCCACACACGCATCCTCACACACCCACAAAGATCCAAACACACGCACACCTTCACAATCACACCCTCATCCACACACGCACAATCACACCCTCACCCACACACGCACCCTCACACACCCACAAAGATCCAAACACACGCACACCTTCACAATCACACCCTCACCCACACACGCATCCTCACACACCCACAAATATCCAAACACACGCACACCTTCACAATCACACCCTCACCCACACACGCATCCTCACACACCCACAAAGATCCAAACACACGTACACCTTCACAATCACACCCTCACCCACACACGCATCCTCACACACCCACAAAGATCCAAACACACGTACACCTTCACGCTCACACCCTCACCCACACACGCATCCTCACACACCCACAAAGATCCACCCACACGTACACCTTCACAATCACACCCTCACCCACACACGCATCCTCACACACCCACAAAGATCCAAACACACGCACACCTTCACAATCACACCCTCATCCACACACGCACAATCACACCCTCACCCACACACGCACCCTCACACACCCACAAAGATCCAAACACACGCACACCTTCACAATCACACCCTCACCCACACACGCATCCTCACACACCCACAAATATCCAAACACACGCACACCTTCACAATCACACCCTCACCCACACACGCATCCTCACACACCCACAAAGATCCAAACACACGCACACCTTCACAATCACACCCTCACCCACACACGCATCCTCACACACCCACAAAGATCCAAACACACGCACACCTTCACAATCACACCCTCACCCACACACGCATCCTCACACACCCACAAAGATCCAAACACACGTACACCTTCACGCTCACACCCTCACCCACACATGCATCCTCACACACCCACAAAGATCCACCCACACGTACACCTTCACGCTCACACCCTCACCCACACACGCATCCTCACATACCCACACCTGCACACACACACACACACGCACCGGTATTGAAGTTCATTCATCAACAACAGGTTAACGGAATATCTTGTCAATAGGTACCAAGGAAAGAAACATCCATAAATTTGAATACCGGTATATTAGTAAACCGGTCTACTGTAGAATTTTTTTTTTTATTTAATATGAAGTGAGTATTTTGGCCTTGAAAAAGTCTAATATCAAAGAGAGATAAAGAATGCCCTCAAGTTTACAAAACTGAAACAAATTCAACTATACCTTGCAATAGCCATCCCAATGTAGTGTGCCAATGGTATAATAGCCAAAAGACCCATTGCAAATCTCTGTAAAATAATGTGTACATAATCATGAGTTTATTTTTAACATTATATTCTCAGTGCATTTGTGATGATTGGTTTGGTATTTTTTCCCTTCATAAATTATTTGAAAAACAGGTATATCAAAGATACTATGTCCCTTTTGCAGCCAACCTCAAATTTTGTAGAACTTTGCAGGAAATTTTGAATATGTCATGTTTATCCTATCTGTGAAATTTAAACGTTAGCAGTGTCCTTATATTCAAATTATGCAAGGAAACCCGTTTACTTGCTAGACTTCACTGTCAGACACTTTTGTCAGTATTGAGTGACTGACTGGCTTTTTCTTCTTCTTTGGTAATAACTTACATAAACTGAGCTGTAAAGGATTTGTCTACTACAATAACCCACTTTTTGTAAAGGCCAAAATTAAACTGATTGAATCTTTGCGCAGCATAAAACGTACGACCATGCGGTACAATGGTCTGAAAATCAAGACTATTACGTATTGGCTCTATAGCTCCTAAGTCGATTTGACAACTAAAAGTCGTTATTTTCCCACTTAACGACATTTTCAAGCCCCATTTTCTCTAAGGGGAGTTCTAAATTACTATTATCTTTCAAATGCCATTGGAATTTAACCTTTTCATTTTTTTGGCCTGCAAAAGGGACATAGTACCTTTAAAGGGATTGGGTAACTTTGTCTTAGATTCTGAAACAAATACCTGGATTTAGCTCATGCTGCAATGATAATTATAAACCTTTAGGTCAGTCAGGAACCCCATGACTTTTACATGCCGATCGCTGATTATCAAGATATTTATGATTGGAAATCAATTCAAATTTCGCGTTTTCCTAACAATACAGCTATTGAGGAAAAGAGTATTGTAAAACCGGTCACTCAAATATTTCCACTTTTTGGGGGGCACTTCTTGATCATTTTGAAGTGCAATTTTTTTAGGGCTTCAATATTTCACCATATCACAGACAATGATAACACGTAGGGCCGTGCATCTCAGATTTAACATTGTTAAACGATGCCTTTAAGTGATCTGAATTCACAATAACATTCATCATAAAAATATAAACTTTTACAAATGGTGAATAATTTCTGCCCCTGAAAAACATATCTACATGTATTGCAAATGTTCACTACTGTAATTCATTCCATAAATTAAGAAACTAGATCGCTCGCAAAATTGGCATGAATTGATTGCAAGTATTTCTTCCCCCTTTCTTTCAGGTTAAATTGCAGGCTTGAAATGAAAGGAATAAAGAGAGAAGGACAGATAGACAGACAGAGATATAGAGACAGACAGAGACAGAGAGACAGACAGAAAGAGACAAGGACAGACAGACAGACAGACAGAGATATAGAGACAGACAGAGACAGAGAGAAAGAGACAAGGATAGACAGAGATAGATAGAGAGACAGACAGAGAGACAGAACGAGACAAGGACAGACAAACAGAGATAGAGAGACAGACAGAGACAGAGAGACAGACAGAAAGAGACAAGGACAGACAGACAGACGGAGATATAGAGACAGACAGAGACAGAGAGACAGACAGAAAGAGACAAGGACAGACAGAGATAGATAGAGAGACAGAGACAAAGACCGAGACAGAGAGACAGAAAGAGACAAGGACAGACAAACAGAGATAGAGAGACAGACAGAGACAGAGAGACAGACAGAAAGAGACAAGGACAGACAGACAGAGATAGAGAGACAGACAGAGACAGAGACAGAGAGACAGAAAGAGACAAGGACAGACAGACATAGATAGAGAGACAGAGACAGAGACTGAGACAGAGAGACAGAAAGAGACAAGGACAGACAAACAGAGATAGAGAGACAGACAGAGACAGAGACAGAGCACACTGGAATACGGTATATGTAATGTACAGATAAATAGTGGGGGGAGGGGGTTGAGAGATACAGTATATGGGGATAATGGTAAACAGGAAATAGCATACCCCTTTAGCTGTAGTGAACCTGTTGTTCGTGTCTGCAAATCCTACAACTATTGCAATGACGACAAATAGAAGCATATCTGGGAAAAGAAACTTAAGGAAACATAACATGTATTCAAGTCCAAGAAAAAGGTATCTATTATTTACATGGATAACATTGCTTAAAACACCAGAATTTGGATCACATGGTTTGTTTCGATACGGCACGGACATCCTTTGGCAAAACACTAAGCTACATTTGCCTATCTCCACCCAGGTGTGTTAAATAGGTCGCTGGTAGGAATTTATTCCTTGAATGCTCCAGGTACCTCTGGGCAGATACGGGATAAAGCCAGGGTAATATTAGTACAGATGATGATAGATGATGATCGATGGTTGTTTTACCCGACTGCTAAGAAAGCATGTTAATGCTTGTAAGTAAACAACCAGTGGACCGACAGCTATTAAAGCCCAAGTCCACTCCAAAAATAACTTACTTTTAATAGAACCAGAAAAATCTGACAAACCAATCAAAATAAGTTTGAGCAAAATCGGATAACTAATAAGAAAGTTATGAATTTTTAATGACATGAAAAACTTTGAAAATCACTAGACAAATTGGCAACTCACTCATGAGTCTGTGACGTATGGTCCTCACTATCCATTTTCTTTATATTGATAATATAAATTTCCTATTTTCACCCTAAGAATCTTATTTCTTCACACCAGCATCCAAGTTAGATTGTTAGTAATATGTTTTTGTGTGGGTGCACAAATAAAGAGTGATTTTTGTCCAGTTAAATCATGAAAAATTGAATTTTGATAAACTATTTATATAAAAATCAATAATTATGAATATACAATATTCAGAAAATAGTATCAATTTTTCAAAATTTATAGGTTTTTGGGAAATGTCATGCACGCAATATGATACAAATCATATAACCTGGGCAAAGGCATGGGGAAATCTAGTTTTGGGGGATAAAAAGGGAAATTAAAGGGATTAAACTATATAAAGCAATTGATAAGTTGTGAGGACATGACGTCACAAACTGATAACCATCTTGGCAATTTGTGTTGTGATTCTCATTGTTCCATAGTTTTACATACTTTTTCAAAAATTCATAACTTTCTTATTGGTTATCCGATTTTGCTCAAACTTTTTTTGATTGGTTTGTCTGATTTTTCTGCTTTTATTGAAAGTAAGTTATTTTTCGAGTGGACTTGTCCTTTAAGTCCTCTCCAAGGGACGTGGTAATGAGGATTAATGCCTTACCAAACGAAACTAGCGCATCCACTTGGTTTGGAACCCTGGAACTCCTGGTTACAAGACCACCGCTCTATTACACTGAGCCCTCTTAAAAAGTAGTTGTTAGAGTACTGAGCATTCCCCTGGGAAAGATATGTGTCCTAAATGTCTTTCCATATGTTTCATTTTCGGCTTAATAAAGTTGTAGTGACCGTTTTTCTAGAAGGCCAACTCAGGTTTCATATTAAGTTCTCCTATTCTATTCTCTGACGATACATTATACCCTAATTGATATTCACCTTTTATTTTTTAATACAAAAATGAATAACTTATTATGGAAAATATGTTTTCTTATGTACGTGTAAAAGTGATTTTTCATTTTAGAAATGCAATAAATAAATAAATAAACTGAACTGAACTAAAGATATTGCTGCTTTACATCGATTAGGAAGAATAACATATTTAATTACCAATTAATAGTACAGTCGTTTGCATTCACTGTTTGTAAACACTTCAACAGTAGCTAGGGATATCTTCCGTATTAAAAGGATACTGACAAAGAAGATGTTCATGCCATCTACTGTGTACTTGTATGAGTAGAAGTTAGCAGCTTGGTATGAACACATAATCACTTCATGGGACTGCTCTCCAGGCTATGGTGGTTATGAAGAAAGAAACACAAAATATAGTATTATCACCAATGAGATTAAGTGTCGGCTTTAATAAAAAAGTACTTAGGCCTGAGTTTCATAAAACTTCATGAAATGTGAACCCACTGACTAAAAAGCTAGAGAACATTCTCATTCATGTCTATTGAAAACACAAAATTGTTGTGACTGACAGGCCTTATGTAATGCTATGTCTTTTCCTCATATGGTAAAGTCCTTATCTGACATTTGCATTACCTGAAGACTCTCCGAGAGACGAGGGGGGTATTTCTTGATTGGCCTACGGGTTTGATGAGTGCAGATTTGTGCTCCCGTTAATAATATCTCCACTAAGTCTGGTGTCAGCGAATTATGACCTTCTGTACGAAGAAACTGAAAACTCTCTCACTTTGAAGCCCCACTACACTACTTGTAGTTGCTCCCTTTATATATAAAAAAATGCATAATCAGTGACCATTAGTACCCCATGATCCTCTTTTTTTCTTATGTTAATTGAGAGCTGAGTTGATGAGATAACCACCTGTCAGCGACCATGCTGGGTGGTCTAATCCCTCCTGGCCAAACTAGTACATATGGGCTTTAAACTTGACTTACCTTGATGGCAGTTGTTTTGCTGACTTTAAGCTTCTCAGGAGGTAGAATCAAGAGCCTTTTGATTGCTATCATGTTGAGCTGTGGAAAGACAAAACACACCACAGATTTAAAATCATGATCAAGTGATCCATATTGACCATTTACATTTTCATTTTCAATAATACATTCATTTTGATATACAGTGTATATCAAAACAATATAAAGAAAAAATATTTTGAATAACATATATTTTAATGTAATTTACAAATGCAACACAAAAATGCTTCTTTGTACATGAAAATAGTGATTATGCAATTTCACTACATGCGGCCAATATTGATGATATTCACCATCATAATAATGATAAAAATAATAATAATAATAATAATAATAATAATAATAATATCAATAATATGTGCATGTGAGAGTCTTGCATTACCTTTGCTACTGGCAAGGATATAATAAGCATCCATGAGATTAAAAACACCAAAAGATGAAGCAGGAAAACAAACGGCATCCCTAGAATAAGCCATACATACGTAGATGGCCTTTTCTGTGAACAGCAATGGAGAAGAAGAAGTGAATTAAAACCAATATAACATTATATGCATCTTCACCAGACTGAGCAGTAGCTTCCCCTCCCCTTTCCCAATATTTGTAAACAGTAAATATTCTGGTCCCTCTAAATAGGCCATTTTCGTAATGGAATAAGCCATAATGTTCATCCTATCTAGCAAAAGTTAAAGTATTCACTTTGCATTCAGATTAGTATTGAAAAAACAATTATTTATAACAGGTGAATGAAATATTTTAGATAAAAGACCCCCCCCCCCCCCCGTGGCAAATTAAGCCAACCCATTATATTATCTAGTACTGACAGATGTCTGATCTGTGAAAGGCATCACTACGAGTCGACGACGTTTGCAACATCACACGCTTTTTATCAAACAATTGGCCTTTGAACACGCCCCCATGACCCTCCTACCCCATTCCCCCCCCCCCCCCCTCTTCCTACCATCCCCGGAATAATAAAGCCAACCAATTATATTATCTAGAACTGACTGTTGTCTGATCTGTGACAGGTGTCACTCTTCATCGACCTTCCCACCCCATTCCCCCCTCCCACCGTCCTCCTTCCCCTCCCCTAACCGACATCCCTGGGCTAATTAAGCCCCCGCCTATGATCTTACCCAGTATTTACTGTTGTCAACTCGGTGATAAGTGTCACTCCCGGTCAATGATGTCACCAGCTTCTCGTTATCCGATGGGTCTCGGACGTTATAAGCCGTGTTTACCACACCATCTTCACCTATGCTTGTCGATTCATCGACCTCTATAAACTTATATTCAGTTTGCTGTAAGGAGAAACAAAACAAAACTATTTAATTCAATATCAAGTAAGCTCCATATTCTAATGGCATGGCTTTGCAGGAAAAAAATGCATAAAACATTGATTTGCTGTGTGTATTTATATAACAAAACAAAACAAAACCTTAAATGTGCTTGTACAAGTATGTTTTGCTCAATAATATGTTACAGCAGGAGTTCATTTCAATTGAACTATTATATTGAATAAGTATATAACATTTTCTGGTGTAAATATGTACTTTACAGAAAGACAAAAACATATTGTTACATTATGCATGTCACTGACATTGATACATTCTACAGGCAGATCTGGGCTACAATCAAATGGCACTGGGCAAATAAATTCAGTCTCGCACTTCTACAAATTGTGGTTATTTAATGACACTTGGAAGTGCGCTCTCATGGGAAATTCAACACCATTCAGGCGTTTACCCAAAACAGGGGTTATGTAAAAGGATGGATAGATGGGGCCATTGAGATACGCATTGACAGCCTCCATAGAAAATCCTCATGAAAAATATGCATTTTTCAACTATCAAAGGAAAAATAATCGATCAAATATACAGGAAAACGATGATTTAGACTAATTGGGTGTGGCAGGCTCAACTGCATATGAACAAATTTTGGGCATCTGCTCACGCGGTCTCGCTCAGCGGTCTACAACACGTGAAATCGTCTTTGAAAATGCGCTAAGTGTGCAAAGAAATGCTCCTACGAGGTAAACAAACTTTGATTACACACCATCTTGGGTGGAAATCACATATTCAAATACTGTTCTTTCCACTGATACCAATTTCGAACTGATTTGAATACTGAAAAATAGGGCCTTTTCGTCTTCAAAAATGGACAACAATCATTCAATTTGTGATTTCTCTATGGAGGTCACAGGAAAATTCGCCTTTTTCACTGGGGTTGTGTACTTCAAGGAACTAATGCTCGTAACTGCGACTTGTTATTGGGCCATCTCGGGCGCCAAATCATAGGGTATATAATCCCGTGTCGTCTGATGTAACACATAATTTGATTGGTTGTCGAGAAATTAGGGCCAATTTCAATCCAATAAAAAGAAGCTTTCTGAAATTTACGCATCGACCTCCGTAATTTATGCATTGTGCGTAAGCGAGGTTTTAACACAGCGGACAATGAGGCTTACACACCGTGCTCGCAGCCGTGCGTATTTCGACCATCGAATTTGACTCAGCTCCGCGGCGATGGAAAAGACACATTTTATGTTGATTTCAGCAATTTACTGAAAGGAATTTAGATATTATTGACGATCTTTTACAAAAAAGATGTGTAGGGATTAGATTATATCTCTCATGAGACACTGAATTCTTTAGTTTTCCTGAAATTTAGCAAATTAGTGGCACTCTGAACTCGCTTTATGAGCAGATCTAAATATTCATGGTCGATCTGGTAGTGAAGGAATCGTTTATTCATATTGCAGGGTGATCCCGCCCATCTTAGACGGAGGGATGACAATGGACTTATGCATTGTGATGTGCATCTGCATCTTCTAGACTAACATATATAATTTCCTGATTTGTTTTCTTTTTGGGGGGAGAAGAAGAGGGAAGAGAGAGAGAGAGACAGAGAGGGAGAGAGTTGACAAGTCACGCTTGCACAGCGGTGTTGACATTCACACTCTCACCAGTTTTCTACGATAAACCCCTATTTCATAAATATCGACGAGTCCGGTACCTTGGTGTTACGCTCTAGTGCACTCGAACGTTCGTCGTCTGTGTGGGAGGTACACAAAATGCCTCATTGATCTTTTGGCCGAATGTGGATCAAATTTGTTCATATGATAGCCCGGCGGTGACTCCAACCTAGGACTAGCCACCGTGCACAAATGCTGACCCTAGGACGTCCAAGACAACCCAGCATAAGGACCCAGCTATTGCCTTAATACAACCGTACTCGACAACTTCAAGGCGGGGATAAGGGGTATGTTTTCGACCTTAAACCACCAGATTAACAAGAGATTTGACCATATGGGAAGACCTCTCACACCCCCCCCCCTCTCTCTCTCTCTCTTCTTCTAATTTCTGTAGCTTTGTCTTGTTTTGTCTTGTCCTGTCATGTCTTGTTTTATCTTGTCCTGTTATGAATTGTTTTGTCATGTCCTGTTTTATCTTATTATGTCAGTTTCCTGTCCTTTGTGTCCCGTCTTGTCATTCTTTTGTTTATTTTGACACTTTAAAATGGTTTATGAAAATATGTTATTATATTGTATCTATTTCACTGTGATTATTGAGACACTTTAAAAAGGTTTATGAAAACAATGTTCATATTATATTTATTCTTGGGAACCTACAAAAACAAGCTGCTTTCCAGTAGGTTCCTGTTTCATTTCACAATTTTGGACTTTCTTTGTCAACTATGTTCTTTAATGTGCAAACAATTGATATGAAATGGAATAAATTTGAATCAATCAATCAATCAATCAATCACCAGGATTAGCCTTCAGTTTCATGACCAACACAACCTATGTAATGCTTTGCATTTCCCACCCATTGCCATATCTGGTCATTATCTTACTATTCCCTCACCCAAAGACTCTCCAATAGACTAGGGGTGTAGTTCTTGGTAGGACAATAGGTTTGCCGTGTGCAGACTTGTACACCCATTACTGGTATTCACATCAAGTCTGGTATCAGTGAATTACGACCTGCTGCACATGGAAACAAACGACCCTCTCCCTTTCAATAGGTGTACACATGTATGTACTATGTTAGCTCCTAGTTATCCATCATGGCAAGAGAGAAATGTGTTTCATCTCACACCCAGTATTCATTACTTTACATTCAATCTCATTTAAAACCCAATACCATAACAAACAACAACAAAAATGACATATCATACTGAATTCCATACAAAGCAATGGAATAGTGAGAACTGAATTATGTTCCAAACTTCCAATACATGTATATACTGTTCTTGATTGTATTTCTTATCAATTGTGTTTGTTCTGTTCTTATGACAAGGGTTGATCATTTATTTCAATAAAGGCATATTTATAACACTGAGTATGAGTAACCTCTCGAACATTATGCTCGAAACTCCTTTGTCATTTATCAGCCAACTGAGTTTCAGTTTCCTTTCACACGTAGTGCCTAAGCTCAAGGATCTCCAAACATATAAACATCCCCTTCAAATCATACCAAGGACATTCCTTTTCTTCCTTACTATGTTTTCAAGCAAACAGCTAGGCAGCCAATTTTAAATGTTGCTATGTGCAAATAAAACACTTTTGTCAATATTGTTCTTCCTGTCTACTCACTATCCCCCTATGAATCAACATCACGTGTTCAAAGGTCTTAAAACAATGACAAAATCATAGATGTGGTCTGTAACTTATGGGAAAAATAGCTTTGACTTGCAAATTCCATGCACATCCCTCGATATCTGGTATTTTTTATATTGACCACTGATTCACACAAAAAGAGGTCATTTTGGCATGTGATTTGAAAACCACAGATGACTTTTCTTTTCTTCCTTACTATGTTTTCAAGCATAACAGCTATGGTAGGCAGCCTATTGTAAATTTTGATGTGTGCAAATAAAACCCTTCTATCAATATTGTTCTTCCTCTACTCATTATCCCCCAAGGAATCAACATTACATGTTCAAAGGTCTTAAAACAGCATTAAAGATCATAGACACATGACATTGGGGGTGAAGTTTATTGTATTTTTTTCTCCCTCATTTTTTAGAGGGTATTAACAGTAACTTGTAATTTTCTTTTTTTCAATGTAGGGATGACATTTTTCATTTGTCCCAACTCATTTCAAAACCAAGCTTTACTTGCATTTATTGTCATGATGTTTGTAATTTCATATTTTTACTTGTACCGTATTTGTATTTTATGTTAGTTTTAATGAGTGAATAAATTGAATTGAATCGAATTGAACAGATGTGGTCATTAACTGATGGGAAAGAATAACTCTGACTTGCAAACTCCATACACGTTCCTTGATATCTGGTGTTTATTGTGTTGACCACTAACTAACACAAAAAGAGGTCATTTGGCATGTGATTTGAAAACCACAGATAATTCATGGAGTGGCTGATTTTGCATTGTTTTTTAACATAACTAGCAGGTCAAAAAGGATTATAGATTCAACCTACAATTTATTCACTAATTAAAATTTTAAAAATCAGTATTCTTTAATTCAAAGGTATAGACCAGTTCTGGAAATAGCCCCCTTTTCAAAAAATGAAATGGACGCTCTTCTTCTTCTTCTTCCTTTTGAGTACAGACCTCTTTACAGAGTATTATCGTACTATACTGGGGTGTGTGAAGGAATGTGTTTTTACTAATGCGTGATGATACAAATTTGCTGGGAAACTGCCTACTAATTGATATATTTGGTAAATTATCATATTGATCGGGCTTGGATAGATATCGCGAATGCACTTTAACATTGACCATTTGGGCACATATTTCTACTTTTACATCTAAACCTCTGAAGGAAATATTTAAACAATATTGAATGGACATTTTGCACCCAAACCCTTGAACCGCAATTTTACCCCTACCGGTCTATATCTTTGATTTAAGAATATTTACTGATGGATTCCTGATTTTTAAAGTCTATTTTATTTTAGTTTGGGTATTTTTGGTCCTTGAGAACTAACAATATGAGGATAATAATTCTATATTTGAGAATAATTGAGGTTACACAAACATTGTTTTATTATTATTACCATCATCCTTATTATCATCGTCACCACCATTATTATTTGTTTGGAAAAACCTGAGTTATTGGGGTTACATACCTCCTGTACGAAATATCCAAATGGCCATAAAAAGTAGCGCCCAAGCTGGAAACAGTAGATACCTTTTGAAACAAAAGAGATAATGATATAATAAGACTACTGCAAATTCTCGCTATCACATAGTATTCAGCCATAGAGGCAGAGGCCATGGGTATAAAATGGCAATGGCATTTCCGGGTCCCATACAAACTATACATTTACAATGAGTTGAGAACTAGAAAGTCTGATAGAAATGAAATTTTGGAGCCAATCAGGGGTGATAGTGAGCACTAAAAAAAATAGGTTTTTTGTTTTCCCCTCAACCACGCCCCCCTAGAGTAAAAAAAAAAAGAGGATTCGCGGGAAAAATATGGCATCTATGGCAACATTTCCCCCATTTCGAGTAAGAAAATTGGGACAAAATCGAGGGGGAAATAGGGCAAATTAGGGAAGAATAGAGAAAATAAGAGGAAAATCTGGAAAATCAGGATAAAATAGGGAAGAAGAAAAAAAATTGGTAAAAAAAAAAAAAAAAAAAAATCGGGAAAAAATCAGGAAACCGATTTAAATCAGGTTTTTATCAGGCCTGGCCAATACAATATAAGCAACAGATTATGATGGTGCCTTATGAAATCATAAAGAACAGATTTATAATTTGTGTGTTTATTATAAGTTTTGGTTGGTAATTTGTAGACAGACAATGGTGCGCTTAGGAACAACCGTATTAAGCGCCTAATAAATGTTGTGAAGTATTATTATTATTATTGTTGGTGGTTATTAATATATTAAAGTAAAATCAGGAATTTGTCAACACTGCGTTACATTCTCTAAGAAAGCCGGAACATTGTTCCATCGGCTTCCCCGTTATCTTATTTGCACATATTCTGACCTGTGCAGTGTAGGAGGAAGGTCGCCCTTTACTGTATAACATCATATTGGCAGTAGGGTCAATTATAAAGTAAGTTATACATTGTGAAAGCAGTGAGGATCAAAAGATTTGAAATTGCTATGTTGTGTGATATTGAAGTATATAGAAAGTTATTGAATGGGAAGGAAAGAAAGGGTGATTTTAAAAGGGAAAAGTAGGAATATACAAATGGGGAGGGGGACAAGGGTATGGGGCAGGGGAGGTAAAAGACTTCAGAAGATGGCCTTATATACACTGTCCTTTTTTTTCTTCAAAAAGGACAAAGGCTTTAATAAAGATATGGGATTGGAGAAAGAGAGAGAAAAAGAGAACGAGAGAGGAATAAACAGCTCAGGAAGAACAGAACCGAATTGGATGGACTTATCTTGAGATAAAGAAATGAGGGAAGAGTTACAAGGAAAGAAAACACTGCAAGAAGTAAGAAACTCATCAGGACTGGAATAAGATATTTACCATGTCTCCATCCCACGACAGTGATAAGCATCAGAACCCCTACCAGGGTGTATATCAGAGCCATGAACCATCCAATAAGCAACGCATAAACCACGTTGGAAACACCTAGCGTGGGATCTAAATTTAGAGGAAGCAATTTGATGATATGAGGAAATCCTGTGAACATCTATTTTGAGGAAGTTCTGTGATCACCCATTTCTTTTTTTTTTATGATACATTAAAAATATATGATTTCCTGAAAATAACACATAAACCCCTTAAAATAGCTCTGCAGTTCAAGTTTGAGTGTTGATATCTCTTGTGGTACGATATTATCATACTTGACATTGTTTAATTGAAAAGCCTGGTTATTCTCTATTATAATGATGCCCTGTTTGTAATATTGTTTAGTACACTTGGATATGTGGCCAAGTGAAATGTTGCACAATGCATCAATCAACATGAAGAAATACATCAAAAGAGGAAGTTCTGTAATCATCTATTTTGATCTCAATAGCTTATTTCCGTGAGTGATGCAGCATTTTACCCTCTACATGTACCTTCCTCTATTGCAAGTCATTTCCTTAACCCACTTGAATATCTATTGTTGATTTTAACATTTAAAAATAAATAGCTGTTAGATACTGATCTTATGGGGAAGTCTTGTGATCACCTATTTTGATTTTAACTACAGATATGGATTGCGATAGCTCCTACAAGTAACAGATTCCTACAACCAGTGTACATCATAGCATATTCCCGTTATTTTCTTCTATTTCTAACCGTTTCCTAAAATTTATCAATGCATCATCTTCAAATCTGATTTTTTTTTTTCTTTTTCTTTTTAATGCTGATTTAGAAAATAGTATATGTACATTGAACTATTAGTCACCAAAATATGAAATGGTACATGGAAAAAAGGCTTTGGAGATTTTCTTCCAGACCTTGTGAAGAAAGAACTAATTTTTCCACTTCCCATTTGCAATCAGATAAACATCTTCAGTAATTTTAGGTCAATGTTGCATACTAACATGAAAATGGTTTGATCTCTAGCGGTGGTTTGTAGAGCTCCTGGACGACCTCTGACCTTTCTTGTAGAGGGCGCTTCGTCACATGACTCTTCCACTTCTTAAATCCAAACTGAAATGACAACAGAAAGCCATGGTGATAATAATCAATTTCCAAATTGTAAAGTCTCTGCCATGCTAATCAGTATCCCTGGGCAGCATTTCATCAAACCATCATAAGTACAAGTTCGCCGACATCCCATTGAAATGCATGAATTAAAATCAACACACGTTTTAATGGTATGTTGGCAAACTTGTACTTATGACGGTTTAATAAAACGCTGCCCTGATCCTTAATTTTCTTTTTGTTTTACTCTTTGATATTTTATCAGTTTTGGTTGGAGGCGCAATAGCTCAGTCGGTAGAGCAGTGGTCTTGTAATTCGGTGGCCCGGGACAAAACCAAGTCGATGCGCTGGTGCCCTTTGGTAAGGCATTAATCCTCATTACCAGGTCCCTCGGAGAGGACCTAAAGCCGTCGGCCGTCTGGTTGCTTACTAACAAGCATTTATGCTGTCTTAGCAGTCAAGTAAAATAACCACCACCACAATTGAGAATGAAAAAAATTAACCTGTTGCTGATATTCAAACATGCACATAGATATTCAAACCTGTCACAGTTTTAGCATTTGTTATAAGGGACTTTTAGATTTGCACGTGGACATAGGGGATTGCTACGTGTGACGTCCTCTTAAGGCACTGGCAGTGCCTTAAAAGGAAGTCACGTGTCGACGTGCAAATCTAAAAGTCCCTAATGTTAAAAAAGAGAAATGAAAGAAGGTCTGTAGGAAAATTTCCTTTAAAAGACAGAATGAAGGTGTGCGTTGGTCTAGTGGTATATTTACTTGACATTGCCAAATTATTACGAAATAATTCTGAAGTTACAAATCGCGTCTTCATCAGCTCGAGACTCGACCTTGAAACTCGAAATGCGAGCTCGACAAATTAGCTCAAGATATTGCACATTTATGGTAATTTATGCAAATAAGATCATAAAATTCACCTCTTTCAGGAAAAACTCCATGTTTTGTACACAAATCACGAAAATGAGCGATTTTCCGGCTAACATGCAAGGACAAAAGGTCACATGACTTTGTAACTGTAAGTTTGATTTTCAAAAAATTGTTTTAAAAGTTGCGCAAGACTCGAACACAAAAAGTCAGCGAGCGGCGGGGCACCATCCGAATGTGAACCCAAACAATCAGAAAAAACGCGGAGGGGAATACCCCCCCCCCCCCCCCTGGGCCTTATTAGGGTTAAGGCCGCCATTTTAATTTGCGAGTAAACATTGCTCCATCAATGTTTTCAGATGCGCATATATTGTAGCGTCACTGCCTGGCTGCGCGCTTACATCATACTGACATGTGCGCTATTTCAAATTACAAGTTTGTTTACTCGTAATTTAAAATGGCACTCTTGTAACCGTGAAAGGGTGTATTACACAAACACACCCACCGACCCCTCCCCCTCCCTGATTTCTTCACTAATACAAACCATATAGTTCTGTTCCATCCTCTGGGCTTCCACCTCATTCTCTGGCGCTTCAACAAACACAAACTCCTCCTCCTCTGTCTTTTCATTCGTCCTTGACCTCGCTCGATGACGGAGGAAGGATGAAGGGTTTCCATGGCTGTTCTGGCGACTGGGGCTTGGGACTGGTCCTGATTGGTGGGAGTGGACCGAGGAACATGAAAGACCATCTCCTGTATAGCAACACAAATCAAAGGGTTGTTTATAAAGGTACAGGCAAAGTTGAACCAGGTCTAAAGCAATACTTAAATGACTAAATTTCTGCCCTACCGTACCGTTTATTGCACATTGTTTACATTTACATGACGATTAAGCCAAATAAAGCCAGACTAGGTGATATACGAAGAACTTTAGCTTACATTTAGCGCATGCGCAGATCGCTCATCCGATGTCAGCCTCATTATCATAAAGTTGGCGCCTGGCCTAGCCGACATGGGCCCTACAGCTCAGATTGGCTATCGCTGTTCTCTATTCACTCAATGCTATAAGATATTTGTGGGAGGAGCAAGCTTGCGATTTTCTGTTTGTTTTCGATATTTTTGCAATGACAATTACGAATTAAAATTTAAATGTTATTGCCTGGTTAAAAAACGTAAAATAAAGATTAAACTCTAAAACTAGAGTAAAGGAGCCGGTAATCGGCTAGCTCCAGTTTTCGGCCGATTGGTTGGATGCAAGGTAAAATATAATAGCATAACACATATCCCACACATACCATATCATGCCAGTGTCACTGAAGAACCACATTTGCAATGAAAAATATATCCTAAAATATCACATTTTAGCGATGTCATCGGCGGTCCCGCTACCCGAATCTGAAAAATCAAGTATCTTACGCGTGTCTGTAAGAAATATGGGTTCCATAAAATGAGCTTTATTTCAAGTATTTTTCAGATTTAGAGCCCGATTTTGTGCTAGTCGCAAGCTCAAAAGTATCTCATCGCATGTATTAAATCAATGCAGCCGCACACCGCAACGCTCACACGATATCTCTGTCTAATTCAGATTCCAATATCCGATCACCGCAGTACTAGTTTTCGGACTGGCGAGCTCCGGGGAGCTCCGGCGTGGGATATCTGCCCCGCCCGCTAGTGCTATAGATCAGCGCGGAAACGCACGGCGCGTGCTTCCTATTGACTTTGTACATGCGGCCGAAAACTGGTACGCTATGCCGAAAACTGACTCCGAAACAGTGAAAATTGAAATGAATATTGTCATGGCAATTCGGGATTTTTTTTCTGGGATTCTTGTTTTGTTTAAATAATAATAATATTTGCTTCATGATTTGAACAAAAAATGATAATAAATAGGAAGTAAAGGGTCCAAAAAATAGGATTTTGTTTTTAGTGGCCGAAAACCGGCTCCTTTACTCTAGATCTAGATCTAAAGACAAAGTACCTTAAAATCACACACAGTCAAATACATTGACTACAAGCACAAGACAACAATAATTTCGGTATTTCATGTTGTGGAGTATTTCTGATATTTATAAACCAAACTTTGGCCAAAGGAAAAGTAGTGTACACGAGTGTAAGATTATATGTTGGCCAGCGCCCGCGAGCGCGAGCTCAAAACAGAACTTCGTGGCATCAGTACACCCGAGCTCCGGCAGGCGGTGCCGCTGGTTCCCGTTGTTGTCATTGCCTCGTAGTCGTAGAAAAATACAGAGAAGTTGGTATTGAGAATTGTCTCTATTCTTTATATTTTATTTAACTTTACCATCATGCTCAGCCCCATCTTCCATCTGTAAAACATCAGCATCGTGACGCACAACACTATCATTGACTCTTCCTGACGACATCTTGAAGGGGATTTAAACTGACTTTAGACGTGAAAAGTCCCCTCGCAGTGCTCATCTAGCATCTCAAGTAGCTGTGTAGCGTGAATTTAGTATCATGTGATTAGTTAGATCACGTGATAGGTTAAGTTGAGATGGCGTCTGCTATTTATCGTCTGCTAATGTATATAGCGGACGCATTTATTAGCCTACATATTATTTGTTTGAGTGAAATGCTTTCGACCTCGACTTGATAATTTCTTTGATATGAAGTACTTGAATTTCTATAATAATGCAGGTGGCCAGTAAAATGCGAAGGTTTATGAAAAGGGAATCAGGTGAACAAGGGTAGACAAAAACATTTATTGAAAACACACACACAAAATATAGGGTGATGAAAATGTTTGACATAGAAATTTGGGGATCAGATTATATTTGTCACTACAGAGCCCAGTGGGTGTTTCAACATAACTTTGAGACGGTCCCTGAACGTGGCCGCCGGATTTGCAGACGGTATATTGGACACCATATGCATTATTATCAAAATATGTTTTACAACCTATTCATAGATTTGGGGACTCTAGACTGTTGGAAATATTTCAGACGGCGTCCCCGGACATATTATTCTAGGCTTATAAGTTAGGCCTATGCCTATTTTGAGAGGGGTGATTAAAGGTACCATGTCCCATTTGCAGCCAATATCAAATTCTGTATAAGTACTTTGCAGGAGTTATGAATATAATCTGTAAAATTTAAACGTTAGCAGTCTCCAAGCAGTATTCAACTCATGCAATTAAAACCCGTACGTGTTAGTTCACAGTTCACTGTCAGGCCGTCTATAATTGAGTGACTGCAGTCACTGACTGACTTCATTTTTCTTTGGTAATAACATACATGAAATGAGCTGTCTAAGGGTAGGCTACACGAGCATTTGTCTACATCAATGCCCCACTTCTTGTAATTGCCAACTATTAAACAATCTTTGTACAGCATAACACGTACACCATTCGGTACACGGGTCTGAAAATCAGACTACTTACTAAAAGGATTGCAATCCCTAAAGTCGATTCGACAACTAACGGTTTATTTTCCCCCACAAAAAGAATTTTTCAAGCCCTTTCGTTTTGAGGGAAGTTAATATTATTTTTCAAATGCCGGGAGAATTTAACCTTTTCATTTTTTGGCCTGCAAGTAGGACTTAGAGGCTGTTCACACCGCAATGAGATAGCGCGGTCTATCGTAGCACCCCCTTTTTTCTAGCGTGCGCTAGACCGCGCTATCTCTCGTGGACCACCCCTAAGAGGTGCTCCAGTGGCATGCCGTTTTGGCTCGCCGTGGCTCGCTGTTGGGCGGACCGAAACGACGTTGTACCTTCCAAACCGCAGAGATAGCGCGGTCTAGCGCGCGCTATCTCTGCCGGTGTGAACAGCCTCATAGTACCTTTAAGCACGTGCTTCTTTTGTATTTGAAATTGATTGATTTAATTGAGGCATAATGAATGCGGGACCGTTCCCTGTTTAGTTAGGTCGGAGAAGCCTTTTCGTTATGGTTAGCACAGCTGCGTTTTAATCATGTCAAAGTTATTATTATTAACTATTTTTGATAAATAACGTTTCGATGACACTTTATTTCACTTTCACTTCGGACTTTGACTTATTTCCTTTAACTATTAGATGTCAACGAGAGATTAAGATTTATTGTTCAATTCTAGTAGAGATAATTTATGATATTTATAGAATTCCTCGGCGAAACGAAACTTAAAATAAGTGTTGATTTCGCTTAAAAGGACAGAGAAGTTGAGATCAATCAAACACAAATTTGTCAACCAGATCTGTGACATAATCTTGTGAGGTTCTCTAGCTCTCATTTGCCCTGGAGTGAAAACAAATCAGATTTTTTTTATTTTTCCTTTAAAAGAAAATCAATCATACTAATTGCAAACATGTTTCTAATATACAACCCCTGTGTGAAACAAATCTATACCGTCATCAATAACATAGAAAATTAAAGTTTATGACGGGAAAGGTTTGTTTCATATTATACAGGCTGTGGTATAGAAACAGTGCTCAAATTATTTTTTTGTCCACGGGGGCTCTTCCCCCCCCCCCCCCCAAAAAAGAGCCCCGTGAGCCTTCTTACGGGGGCTCTTTTAGTACTGACGGGGGCTCTTTTTTATACAAATATCCATTGAATTGGTACCTATGATACTCCTCAATTATTTGCTATTTCATCATTATCATTTCAATCAGCATTTTCCCTCTTACAAATTTACAAGCTACATAGCTGTTACTGGCCTGTGTATATAATATATACGCATACAACACTGATCTTTATGATGTCTTTAACGTGACATATCTTCTTCTCCCCTTGCAAACAAGAAAGAAAACAAGGTCATTAAAAGGGATTAAGCGACAAACAATGATTGTGATTCAAATTGATGCGAATATTAAGCACTGCTATTCACCCGAATCTTCTTTGTAAAAACAACTTTTACAAATCTCTGCCATGCTTACTGCGTTGAGACGTTCCATTCAATGTAAAATACTCATTAAAGAATACACTTCTCCTAATCTGAAAGTGATCTTACAACACAGTGGCAGATTTGCATGGCTGAGATTTGTAAAAGTCGTTTTTACAAAGAAGATTCTGGTGAAAAGAAATCCTTGCATCAATTTGAATCACAATGATTATGTCGCATGATCCTTTTATTAAATAACCTTGTTTTCTTTTTTGTTTGCAGGGGGAGAAGAAGCTATGTCACGTTAAGAAATCATAAAGATCAGTTGTATTATGCGTATATACATATGATACCAGAAAAAAATTTAATGTTGATTATCAGAATGTCATTTTGAAATACCTCTATACAAATACCACATTGTCTTTAGCCCGTATCAGTATTAGTATGATCAAATATAAAGCTATTATTCTTTATTTAATTCAGTATAATGATTTTCCTCAAAAATAGTTTTGCTATTTTGTTAGGGTTGAGACGCTAAGAAATGGTTTCAAATGTACATTACACGAACCCTGAACCATTGCAAAATGATGGTGGTTCTCTCTCTCTCTCTCTCTCTCTCTTTATTTTAATCATGCATTATCAACTACATATAAAGCAGCAACCAAAAACTTAGGGTTATCTGAAATAGGTGAAAGTAAGAGTTAAACAGAAAGTCATGCTAAAACGGCGCTTCACTGAAAAAAATAAAATAGATTAGTAGTCCTCCTCTCCTCCTCTCCAGCATCCCCCTCCCCCCGCTTTAATATCACATTTTCACTTGGCAGCCCAAGGGGGCCGGGGGTGGGAGGAGGGGGTTAAACCCCTTACCCCCCCCCCCCCCCCCCCCGTAGATCTGCCCATGTTACCATATCATTCCACGACATCTTGGTCTTCCTCTTCTTCTCAATAGGGACTTTTAGATTTGCGTGGACGTGTTACTTCCTTTTAAGGCACTGACAGTCACAAGTCATGTGGCGTCCCTTTAAGCACTGGCAGTGCCTTAAAAGGAGGTCACACGTTGCAGTCCACGTTCTCAACGTGCAAATCTAAAAGTCCCTAATATTGATTTACTGGTCGAGGTTCATTTCTTGCTGACAACGAAAAACTTCTCCGACCATGTTTCTGCCCTTGCGCGATAGGCCTACAACCACTGCTGACGGCGGCACTGCACTGCGAGCTGAAACGGTAATAATAGGCCTACTCATAAAACGAGAAATGTTGCACGCTAATCTTAGTTCCATTTCATTGGTTTAAGGTTTGAAAATTCAAACTCAATATTGTGTTAAAGTTATAACAGAAAAGATAATCTTTATTTTATAACTCCACCGGGGCGATTTTTAATTTTGCAATCGCCCCCGTGAGCAACCTGACGGGGGCGTTTATGTAGCTCACGGGGGCGAATCGCCCACCGCCCCCGTGTATTTTGAGCGCTGTATAGAAACCTAATAATATTGGGTGAATTGAATTTTGAAGTTATTTATTACAGGGATGAGGGGAGGAGAGCTCAAAAGTATCCTCACGGAGTTGCCAATTTTTGTTTGATTAATCGCCTTAACTTTCACAAACCTGTTTTTCTCATTGTACTGCTTCTTCTAAAACCAACTATATATCAATCAGAATGGATTTCCCTACTAAGGTTTTGCTGTATTAATGTATACTAAAAGACATTATATAAAGAGGCCGGGGGGGGGGGGAGGCTTGTTTGCAATTACACGACATGAATCGAATAAAGTCAAGTAAGCTGAGAAACTTAATCCACATAATGACAATTGATTTAAATATTTTGGCGGGCGGGAAAGTCACATATTAATCATGTTTTCAAATGTTGCATACTGCAGTTACATAATAGTTATGGTTGTGGTTGTTGTTGATGTAAGGCAAAGGGGTCTAAAGCACAATATGGCAATGAATTCCTAAAAAAAAAATAGGGGGCTATGGCCGGGGGCAGTATAGCTTTAAAACTATCGGTGAGTCGGCTTTGGGGAGGTCACCCCTCACATAGGCCCTTTTTAAAAGAGTATAAGCTGCCCCTGACAGCGGAGTATACCTCTACCTCTTTCTCCTCAATCAACAATAAAAGTAATTAATAAATTATGTTTTCTACAACACTTAACTATATCGGCAATTTTTTTCCGATTTATAAGTTTGTTATGTGATACGGGTCTCTGACTTTTTTTCCTGTCATTTAAAAAAAAATATTTTCATTCTCTTAAGCTTCTTTTTGCCCTCTTCTTCTTATTCAATTAATTCCTCCGCTTGGAGAAGAATTGTGAGCACAGGTTATCGGCCAACTATAGCACTGTCAGTGATAGTCTTTAGGTAAGATTCTAAGAAACTCGAGAAGAATAAAATACGGAAATAAGTGTAAAGAGATCTCGTAATATAAGTGCAGATTGGCTCGGCCAATGTTAAAGACCGTCAACACTACTGGGCCAGAAGGGATTAGACCACACAGCGAGGTCACTGACTCATCATTGTCTGGATTCATTGGGAACTTATCATCAAAAGCGCAATCTTTATTCCACATTTTGTCAACAACTTAAATGGTAATTACTATAGCACTTCAAAATATTCAAGGTGATTCAATTTTACAATACTTGTTTAGCA